TTGTAAAGGAATTTTTTTTAAACAAATATGTTCTACTTACCTGCTTTGTATAAAGGTTTTGCTCAGAACAGCCCTGATCCTCCTCTCCTGGGGTCCACTGCCAGCACTCCTGGCTCCTCCCCCCTGCTGGGTGCCCCCAGAGTAAGCCGCTTACTATAGGGGCACTCTTGTTAGCTGTGCTCCATGTGTCCATTGACATACAGTGCATAGCCCTGCCCCCTGCTCTGCTCAGTGGCTGTGATTGACAGCAACAATATAGAGATCAGGCCCCTATAAATCACACTGCCAGTATAGTGCTTAGTCCCATATAGATCACATTTTCAGTATAGTAACCAGCTCAGTCCAAACATACTATTTAAAGTTAAATGAAAGCTGGAGATCACACTGCTAATATAGGGAGTCACCAGCTCTCTATAGATCACATTGCTAGTATAGTGATTAGACACTGGTGTCCGAAAGTGATCAGTCCCCTACAGATCCAAGTGCCCATATAGTGATCAGTCCCCTATAGATCCCAGTGCCAGTATAGTGACCGGTCCCCTATAGATCCAAGTAACCATACAGTGATCAGTCCCCTATAGAACCCAATGCCCGTATAGTGATCAGAGGATACCAGATACTGCTGGAGAAGGATCTAGGATTGATCTTGGAGGCTTAGTGGCCCATTAGGGTCGCAGAGTGGAGGTGAGGGGGCATTTTAGCCACAGAGGATAAGTGTGCTGACACCAACACAGCAATCAACACTTTTATCACCTTGCATGAACTTTGTTGTTTGAGCACTTTAATAGAAGATTTATGAACTTTTATCATTGCGTTATATATATTCATTATGTAATTTGGATCAGTTTGGTCACTATTTTGCACTTATCACTTTAAGTGTGGCACATATTTTGTATTAGGGGTTGATAGATTAATATTAATATATATTTATTGCAGAGTTTATTGTATGTGTATATGTGATATATATATATATATATATATATATACACATATATACATTATTTGGCCACATATTTTCACATATCACTTTTATGTGTGGTTTATTTATGAATTTGTTGAGGGGTTTTTGTATTTATTTATTGTTCTGTTGATTCAGCAGAACCTGAGATCACATAGGTTTGGCATCACATACTGTATTTGTGCACAGTGTTGCACTTTAATTATATTTATTATTTATTGATTTTTTTGAATATTCTTTAGCGCTGCACTATATTATTTATTAGTTATTTCACTGTTTAAGTGTGAGCTGCTTTGTAATATATACTATTTAATATACTTCATATAAGCGCAGGAGGATTTTTTATATATTTTAAATCCTAATGTTTGCAATCATCTGTCCCCTATAGATCCCAGTGCCCAGTGCCAGTATGGTGATCAGTCCCCTATAGATCCCAGTGCCAGTATAGTGATCTGTTCCCTATAGATCCCAGTGCAAGTAGAGTGATCAGTCCCCTATAGATCCCAGTGCCAGTAGAGTGATCAGTCCCCTATAGATCCCAGTACCAGTATAGTGATCTGTTCCCCAAAGATCTCAGTACCAGTATAGTGATCTGTTCCCTATAGATCCCAGTGCCAGTATAGTGATCTGTTCCCCATAGATCCCATTACCAGTATAATGATCCGTTCCCCATAGATCCCAGTGCCAGTATAGTGATCAGTCCCCTATAGATACCAGTGCCCGTATAGTGATCAGTTCCCTATAGATCCCAGGGCCAGTATAGTGATCAGTCCCCTATAGATCCCAGTGCCCGTATAGTGATCAGTTCCCTATAGATCCCAGTGCCAGTATAGTGATCAGTCCCCTATAGATCCCAGTGCCAGTATAGTGATCAGTCCCCTATAGATCCCAGTGCCAGTATAGTGATCAGTCCCCTATAGATCCCAGTGCCAGTATAATGATCTGTTCCCCATAGATCCCAGTGCCAGTAGAGTGATCAGTCCCCTATAGATCCCAGTGCCAGTATAGTGATCAGTCCCCTATAGATCCCAGTGCCCGTATAGTGATCAGTCCCCTATAGATCCCAGTGCCAGTATAGTGATCAGTCCCCTATAGATCCCAGTGCCAGTATAATGATCTGTTCCCCATAGATCCCAGTGCCAGTATAGTGATTAGTCCCCTATAGATTCCAGTGCCCGTATAGTGATCAGTCCCCTATAGACCCCAGTGCCAGTAGAGTGATCAGTCCCCTATAGATCCCAGTGCCAGTATAGTGATCAGTCCCCTATAGATCCCAGTGCCCGTATAGTGATCAGTCCCCTATAGATCCCAGTGCCCGTATAGTGATCAGTTCCCTATAGATCCCAGTGCCAGTATAGTGATCAGTCCCTTATAGATCCCAGTGCCAGTATAATGATCTGTTCCCCATAGATCCCAGTGCCAGTATAGTTATCAGTCCCCTATAGATTCCAGTGCCCGTATAGTGATCAGTCCCCTATAGACCCCAGTGCCAGTAGAGTGATCAGTACCCTATAGATCTCAGTGCCCGTACACTGACCAGTCCTGTATAGATCACACCCTGCCTGTACAATACAGCCTCCAGCACCCCAGTAATAGAGAATACTATGAAGATATCCTGTACACGCCGTACATCCAGCCCCCTGTGTGACCTCCGCACAACTGGTGACCCCTTACCTCCTATAGGACGAAGTTCTGTACAAGTCCAACAAGTTCTCCTCTTCCTGGATGGGAGTCACCTAGGCACAGGTAGACCTTCCCCTATAGTACGGAGAGCCGTACTACACATGCGCCCAGCATTCCGCGATGATTGACAGCAGTGGGCGGGGTAGTCGGACGTATCATGCGAGAGAAGAGTGCGGAAGAATGAATGAGAGGGGGAGGAGCCGAGCGGGGAATTCCCCGAGTGATCGCTGTCTCCGGGGGATTCCTCCTCTGTGAGTCAGGACACCGACATCTGTACACACTGTGCCGATATTGTTGTCATGGAGGAGCTCAGATCGGGAGATTAGTGTGCCTCTTCCCTGGATCTATGACAGTAGTGGGACGTCTCCTCTGTCACCAGTTCTAGTCCTGACTGACACCCGTTTAGTGTCATTGGTGTATGCGGGGGTACAGAAATCGTGCCCTAGGATGACCCCCCCCCATTATAAAAACACATCCCCCCGTTATAAAAGCACATGCCCCCCCATTGAACAAGCACATGCCCCCCGCATTATACAAGCACATGCCCCCCCCCCATTTAAACAAGCACATCCCCCCATTATACAAGCACATGCCCCCCCCATTATACAAGCACATCCCCCATTATACAAGCACATGCCCCCCCATTATGCAAGCACATGGCCCCCCATTAAACAAGCACATGCCCCCCCATATTACAAGCACATGCCCCCCATTATACAATCACATGCCCCCCATTAAACAAGCACATGCCCCCCGCATTATACAAGCACATCCCCCCCATTAAATAAGCACATGCCCCCGCATTAAACAAGCACATGCCCCCCCCATTAAACAAGCACATGCCCCCCGCATTATACAAGCACATCCCCCCCATTAAATAAGCACATGCCCCCCATTAACAAGCACATCCCCTCATTATACAAGCACATGCCCCCCCATTATACAAGCACATCCCCCCATTATACAAGCACATGCCCCCATTATACAAGCACATGCCCCCCCATTATACAAACACATGCCCCCCATTAAACAAACACATGCCCCCCCATATTACAAGCACATGCCCCCCCATTAAATAAGCACATCCCCCCATTAAACAAGCACGTGCCCCCCATATTACAAGCACATGCCCCCCATTATACAAGCACATCCCCCCATTATACAAGCACATCCCCCCATTATACAAGCACATGCCCCCCCATTATACAAACACATGCCCCCCCATATTACAAGCACATGCCCCCCATTAAAAACAAACACATGCCCCCCCATATTACAAGCACATGCCCCCCATTAAATAAGCACATCCCCCCATTAAACAAGCACGTGTCCCCCATATTACAAGCACATGCCCCCCATTATACAAGCACATCCCCCCATTATACAAGCACATGCCCCCCATTATGCAAGCACATCCCCCCATTATACAAGCACATGCCCCCCCATTATACAATCACATCCCCCCATTATACAAGCACATGCCCCCCCATTAAACAAGCACATGCCCCCCCATTAAACAAGCACATGCCCCCACGCATTATACAAGCACATGCCCCCCATTAACAAGCACATCCCCCCATTATACAAGCACATCCCCCCATTATACAAGCACATGCCCCCCCCATTAAACAAGCACATGCCCCCCCATTAAACAAGCACATGCCCCCCGCATTATACAACCACATGCCCCCCTATTAAATAAGCACATGCCCCCCATTAACAAGCACATGCCCCACCCATTATACAAGCACATGGCCCCCCATTAAACAAGCACACGCCCCCCCATTTTACAAGCACATGCCCCCCCATTATACAATCACATCCCGCCATTATACAAGCACATGCCCCCCCATATTACAAGCACATGCCCCCCCATTATACAAGCACATCCCCCCATTATACAAGCACATGCCCCCCCATTATACAAGCACATGGCCCCCCATTAAACAAGCACATGCGCCCCCCCATATTACAAGCACACGACCCCCCATTATACAAGCACATGCCCCCCCATTATACAAGCACATGATCAAAGGGTGCTGTTTTGCTAGGGACTGTGTCTGTGTGCTTCACTGTTAGCACACTGCTTTGCATGGCTATGCAGATTTTTTTTAGTGTTTTTGCATTAGCATTTAGGTGCAATTAGTGGCGCTTTCCCGTGATTGAGTTTTTTAGCGTTTTTTTGGAGGGTTTTTTTGACCAAAAGAATCTTTTTTTTTTGTAAAAAAAAAAAATTCAAAAACCGTTTTACCACGTTTTTCAGCATTTGAGCGATTTTACAACTAAAAAAAACTCCTGTAGAAACCCACTAGTCCTGTTTTTTTTTTCCAGCCAAAAAACGTTGATTACAGTCTATGTGTGCATGGACACATAGGATAATATGCTGGGGCAGGGGTGGACTGACAACTCATGGGGCCCCTGTGTCCTTGCCCAAACTCAAAAAAGCCTATGAAAAAGGCTACCAGGGGCATCTCATGGGGCCCCCTACTGACCCCGGGCCCTCGGGCAGTGCCCAAGTTTCCAAATGGTCAGTCCGCCCCTGTGCTGGGGGGTTTACTGGCTGTAGAAAAGACTGTCAAAAGCCAAAAACAGCCGCTGTAAAAATGTCCAGTGTGCATGAGGGCTGAAAAAGTGCTTTCTCAAAAATCAAACTGACATGCCCACATCTATGGTGTCCGTTTATGACACAGAGAATAGCTGCGATTCAACGGATCTCAGCTATTCTCTGGTCATTCACAGTTTATGACACTCAGGAGATCATGTCAGCCCTTCGCTGGAGATCTGTGTTCTCCCTCCAGATTCTCCAGCCCAGAGCTGGAGAATCAGAGGGACAGCAAACTAAGCAGAGATAATTTACCTCTGTTTAGTAAACTGATCTTTTACTGTAATCTCGCGAGATCATAGTAAAATCAGCCGTTTTCCAGAGTTTGTAGACCATTCTCCAGCGTTTGGAGACCGTTCTCCCTTCGTTCGGAGAACTGCTTTATAAACTGCATTCACAGGAGAACTGTGTTCTCCGAGAATGCCGGAGAATTGAGCAGCGATCTATTACCGCTGGTTCATAAATGGACACCTATATACCTAATTAAATGATTTCTCAGGTGTGTTCAGTTAACTGGATGGCCAGTTCCTCCATACTTGTTTCCAAAAGATACATAGTAATAACATTTCTAGCAAAATATCCAAACAAAATAACTCAAAACATGAAAAATAAAAGACCTATGAAAAAGTAAGAATAAAAATAAAAACATCCAGTACACATACTGATAATATTTTTCATGTTTTGATGCTTCCAGGTTGCAATATTGCATTGAATTTTACAGAAAATTACAGCAGCTGCAGATTGATAAGGAAAGGTAATATTTAATAACATTAAATTACAATGTCTTGTTCAGCAATTGTAAATGCTTATACACACACACACTCATACACTGCTCAAAAAAGTTAAAGGAACACTTTTTAATCAGAGTATATCATCAAGTCAAATGAACTCCTGGGACATTGATCTGGTCAGTTAAGTAGCAGAGGGGGTTGTTAATCAGTTTCAACTGCTTTGCTGTTAATGAAATTAACAACAGGTGCACCAAATGGGCAACAATGAGACAACCCCCAAAACATGAGTGGTTTTACAGGTGGAGGCCACTGACATTGTTTTCCCTACTCATCTTTTCTGACATTTTTCACTAGTTTTGCATTTGGCTAGGGTCCCTAGGCTCATGTGGCGAGAGTATGCAGGCAGATCTTGGAAGATGAAGGAATTGATACCATTGAATGACCCCATGCTCACCTGACCTTAATCCAAAAGAACACCTCTGAGATCATGTTTTGGTCCGTCCGACGCCCCCAGGTTGCACCTCAGACTGTCCAGGAGCTCAGTGATGCCCTGGTCCAGATCGGGGAGGAAATACCCCAGGACACCATCCGTCGTCTCATTATGAGCATTAGATACGCCCATTCTTAACCTCGGAAACCACTAAGCAACTTATTCACTCCCTTGTTATCTCTTGCCTTGACTATTGTAACTCCCTCCTCATTGGCCGACCTCACCGCAGGCTATCCTCTCTTCAATCGATCATGAATGCTGCTGCCAGACTCATTCACCTTACTGACTGTTCCGTATCTGACACCCCTCTCTGTCAATCCCTCCACTGGCTTCCCATTGCCCAATGGATAAAATTCAAAACATTAACAATAACGTATAAAGCCCCATAAATAAATCTGCCCCAAATTACATCACCAATCTTGTCTCCAAATATCACCCAAACCGTACTCTCTGCTCCTCACATGACCTCCTGCTCTCTAGATCCCTTGTCTCCTCCTCCCATGCTCGCCTTAAGGACTTCTCCAGAGCTTCCCCCATCCTCTAGAACTCTCTACCCCAATTTATCAGACTATTGCCTACTCTGCCCACCTTTAGGTGATCTCTGAAAACCTATCTCTTCAGGGAAGCCTATCCTGCCCTCAACTAATAATGGAATCTTCTACCCTTCCTACCAGTCCTTCCCCCACAGTTACTACCTTTTGTACCACTAGCCCCTCCCTCTTAGATTGTAAGCTCCAAGGAGCAGGGCCCTCCTATCCCTCTTGTATTGAACTGTATTGTTGCTGTATTGTCTCCCGTTATATTGTAAAGCGCTGAGCAAACTGTTGGCGCTATATAAATCCTGTATAATAATAATAATATGAGCATGCTCTGACGTTGTCAGGCTTACATACAAGCACATGGGAGCCATACAAACTACTGAGTACCATTTTGAGTTGCTGCAATGACGTTTCAGCAAAATGGACTAGCCTGCTGCATAATTTTTTCACTTTGATTTTCAGGGTGTCTTTGAATTCAGTCCTCTGTAGGTTGATAATTTTCATTTCCATCAAACGATGGGGCATCCTTACGCTCCTAACACATTACCCAGTCCATATCAGTATAGATATCCAGCAGGAGATTTTTTCCCATTGAGATCTGAACGAACACACACACACGTAATTTTTAATAACATTCAATTACAATATAACCATTTGCTGACCGCAGATAGCCGAATGACTGCTTCGCAGCGGCCGGCCAGTTCTGGGAGGGCGTCATATGACGTTCTCCCAGAACACGTCCTCCCGCACGCCCCTGGCGATCTCCATGGTGTAGGCTGTTTTTATGCTGTACGATTGAAGCTTATCAAGTGAGTGAGCATTTTTTCATTAAAGAGTCTGGTTACCACTAAAATATTGCACTATGAGGATCTTTTCTTTCACTTACCATTATTTATGGTGAGTGATACGCAGAGCTGGTGACACAATCCTGGAAGGTCTGGAGGTCAGACTATTTACCTGAGAGGTGAACCACAGGAAGAATTAAGAGGATACCAGACACTGCTGGAGAAGGATCTAGGATTGATCCTGGAGGCTTAGTGGCCCATTAGCGTCACAGAGTGGAGGTGGGGGGGCATTTTAGCCACGGAGGATAGGTGTGCTGACACCAACACAGCAATCAACACTTTTATCACCTTGCATGAACTTTGTTGTTTGAGCATTTTAATAGAAGATTTATGAACTTTTATCATTGTGTTATATATACTCATTATGTAATTTGGATCAGTTTGGTCACTATTTTGCACTTATCACTTTAAGTGTGGCACATATTTTGTGTTAGGGGTTGATAGATTAATATTAATATATTTATTGCAGAGTTTATTGTATGTGTATATGTGATATATATATATATATATATACACATTATTTGGTCACATCTTTGCACATATCACTTTTATGTGTGGTTTATTTATGAATTTGTTGAGGGGTTTTTGTGTTTATTTATTGTTCTGTTGATTCAGCAGAACCTGATATCACATAGGTTTGGCATCACATACTGTATTTGTGCACAGTGTTGCACTTTAATTATATTTATTGTTTATTGATTTTTTAATATTATCTAACGCTGCACTATATTTATTAGTTATTTATTATATTATATTGCTTATTTCACTGTTTAAGGTTTAGTTTTGAGTGTGAGCTGCTTTATAATATATACTATTTAATATACTTCATATAAGCGCAGGAGGATTTTTTTATATATTTTAAATCCTAATGTTTGCAATCGTTCCTCATAACTGAAATCCTCCTGCCCTATAATTAGTGTTGCTGCCTTTCTCTGAACTTTCTCCAGTTCTAGCACATCCTTTCTGAGGATTGGTGACCAAAAAACTGGAGAGCATACTCAAGATGTGGGCAAACCAGATGTTTGTAAAGTGGTTATCCCCACTTGTTCAATAAGTTGTTCTCACTGTATCTATGAGAACACTATAACCGTCTTATTGGTCTGCAGAGTGAAAATGCTAAATAATTAAAATAGAACTGTAGCCAAAACTTTCTTGTTTTTTGGGAAACCAGGAGCGGGAAATTGAGTATATTTTTACACAAACTGCAGTCTTGGCCACAGTTCCACTCTCAGCTTAACAATCTTTGAAAATTCCCTTGTCAATAAAAGTTAGTGCAGACAGCATTGCTTCATCATTTCTGTGCTTCCACCTTGGATTTCAGAAATTTTAATTCCTCAAAGAGATGTTAATAAAATATTATATGGTGTCCCCTTCATTAATATAATACAAAAATCCCCAAAACGCATATAAACACTTTCACCCCAAAAAGTGTGATATTCTAATAAATTTATATGCTTTCTAACAAAATCAGAACAGTGCCATAAATACCCAATTAATACAAAATATCCAAATCCCAATATCTGAAAAAAAATGTCCTCCAAAATAAATGTAGTCACTCAAAAATCAAAGTCACTCATAAATTCAAAGAAAAAAACCTCCATGTTGAAAAACAGCTTCCAAAGTGACTTCTGAGACCAAAAAACCTCAAAAATGAAAGAACACTTACATGCGTTATCCTTAGCAACTTGAATATAATCCACTACATAAATGAATGTGATTCACACGCAAAAACACACGTGGAAATCACACGCTGGGTTACTCGTTATGCTTCCTGGCATATCTGGAGAGCTTTGCACACTTGCATTTTCTACATGAGACCCAGATAATGCCCCGCTATGGATCGTGGGGGACACAATCAAAAGTCTACCACATGGCCTAACGTGATATCATCTTAAGAGAGTTGATTAAATGTTGCATTGCCTGTGCTTCGGTGACCTGATCGCGGTGAGTGTGGGGAACATCCATCCACGATCTCACGGTGACATACACCCTACCAGAAGCTATATCCATTGTTTCTCCTCTTCTATATACACGCTCAACCTGGCCTATCAACACCGGAGATTAACATACATGGGACAGTATGACATACTACTACACTGTATAATCCATGTTTATGCTCTTTCTGGATACATATCTATATATACATATTTCACAAGCCCAACACTGAAGATGATCTCCATTATCATACATGGGACAGTATGACATATCTTCAGCACTGTATAATTCCATGAATAGATTTTTACTTTTTTTAGATATATATCTGGCCTTCATTCAAGCATTGATTTTTCAATACTCTCCAAAGAGAGAGCATTTTTTTTGCTCTCCACTTGTCTGGGGCAATTTAGTCTTTACAAGTCATGATATATATTAAGCTGCAGCTTGAGGTTGCT